AAATTAGAAGAGCCAAACCAAATAAAAAAATTCAGCCTCCCTAGAAATTAAAGAAATGTAAAATAATGAGACATTATTTTCTTCCTGTTAAATATCAGTAGATATAAAAGTAGGAATATCCAATGTTGATGAAAGTGTGAGAAAACAAACATGTACATTTCCTTTTTTTGTATTTATATTTGTGGAGGTTTTTTTTTTTTGTAGTTTGTTTGTATTATTTATAGCTGTGTAACAAATTACCTTCAAACATAGTGATTTAGAACAATAGATATTTATTATCTCAGTTTCTGTGGTCCAGGGATCTGGGAGTGGATTAGCTGGATAGTTCTGACTCAACATCTTTTTTGAGGTTGCAGTCAAGATATCAGCAAGGACTGCAGTCATCTGAGATTTGACTACCATCAAAGATCTGCTTTTATTTTTTTTAATTTAAGTCCAATTAGCCTACATATAGCATATCATTAGTTTCAGATGTAGAGTTCCATGATTCATCAGTTGTATTTAACACCCAGCGCTCATCACATCACATGCTCTCCCTAATGCCCATCTTCTGATTACCCCATTCCCTCCCTGACTTCCCTTCCAGCAACCTTCAATTTGTTTCTTATAGTTAAGAGTCTCTCAAGGTTTGTCTCCCTCTCTGATCACTTCCCATTCAGTTTTCCCTCCCTTCCCCTATGATCCTCTGAGCCGTTCCTTACATTTCACATATGAGTGAAACCATACCATAAATCTTTCTCTGATTGACTTATTTCTATCCACGCCAATGTAAATAGTGAGTATTCACCCCTTCTGATGGGTGGGTAACATTCCATTTATTATGTATAAATATACCCATATACCAAGGAACTGAAGCCTCTTGTCAACAGCAATGTAAGTATGCTTAGAAGCAGATCTTCCATGTAACAGGAAAACAAAATGGAAGCTACAGGGTCTCTCATAACCTAATCTCAGAAGTGGTGTAACAACGCTTCTGGCATCGCATTGGGCCACATATATCAATCCTGCTATAATATAGGAGGGACCAGACAAGGGTATGAATACTAGGAGGTAGGGAACATTGGGTGCTATTTAGGAGACCAGGATAATATTTCTGAGGGTCAGTTTAGCAATATTTATCAAAATCTATAAAAATACATATCCCTTTTGATTCAGAAATTACAGTTACAGCAACTTACCTGAAGGAATTAATTAATAGTATGTACTATAATGTATCTTTAAGGGTATTTATTAGAACTTTGTAATAGTGAAAATTGAAAACAGGTAAAGTAATCAACAGTGAGATTGTATAAATATGGTATATATTTATTATGTATACTATATGCTGATATTACAAATAATGTAGAATAATTGATGACAGAGGAAAATGCTAATGTGATTGAGAAAAATCAGATAAAACATTTATTTATACTGTATCAAAGATTGTCTGTGTGTAGAAGCAAAACTGGAAGTTTCTACATAAAACAGGTGGTAGGGAGATGAATAATTATGTCCTTTAAATTTCTCTGTACTTTCTAAGTTTTCTATAAAAAGCATTTGTAATCAGAAAAAAAGAATCACTTTTTAAAAATATGCCTGATCATGTACTGACCAGGAGGAGATAGATCATCTAGAGTTTAAAGTATTCTAGGAGAGATTCTGCAGACCTGCTTGCTGTATTTTTCATGAGGATAGGAGTCTTCCTGTGGAGTCCCAGGTTTGGTCAAATATGTTGACTTTCTAATGTACCTATGGTTAGGAAAATATCACAAGGAAATGGGATGCCTTTTAGCAACCAGAGAGTTATCACTGTATCCTGAGGGTAATATTGGTCAGCATGAGATTTCAAGAAGATTCTTAGTTTTCAGAGAAAACTTCTCCCTCAAGAGAGTAGAACTTACCGCCCAAAGCTGGAAAATGGCACAGCTGGAATTTGAAACTAGAATAATACAGTACTGTTAATCAGTGTGTACTGGGAGTATTAGTTAAAGCTTTTAAAGTGGGAATGATGTGATCAAAGATGTTTTAGTAAATACATTATTTTTATCCAATTATTGTTATACAAATTATTAAACTCTATCTTCAGTTTAATAAAACTGTGGCTAAAGTGGATTCAAATGAGAAAGATACAATGAAGCCCAAAGGGCTGAGGGGCTTGAGAAATAATGAGGGTTAAGACATTAGACATCAATTTGGAATGATGTGCAGATGCACTGGAAGAGAGAAAAAGTCCAAAGATTAGGCTGATGACTCCCTAGAAGAGAAGATTAGAATTCCAGATTTTGGAAGAGGAAGTTGTTTATTTTGGTGGTCTGAGTATTGAACTGGTAGGTGCCTGGTTAGAGATCAAGATAATTTGGTTCTTAGAGTAGAGAATGTTTAAAGAACTTTGGTATCAAAATGTTAGAATAGTCATTACCTGGAGTGGAAATAGGTTAGAATGATTCCAAAGGGAAAATGCCAGGACAATTTGTAAATCTCTCCAAATACATGGCGGGAGGATGAAAAATAGAACTTGTCACTCTGTGTTGCTTGTGTAAGTTTTCCACCTTAGTTAGACTGTTTACTCTAAGAAGCAAAGCCCATGACATTTTTTTTTTCTTGTTTTGGTCTTTGCTGCTGCTATGACTAGCACAATATTCCGATACATCATGGCTCTATCTTTAGGGCATGGCCTCATCCATCTCATTGGATAAATATGGAAGTCTCCCATGTTCCAAGTATGCCTTCTTCCAATAAGAGGGAAACATACCTCCGAAGTAAACTTAGATAAAATATCTTTACCTGTTAGAGGACGCAAAACATGAAAGCACTATCAGAATACAAGGGATTTACAACTGTCACAGTCAGAGCCCTGTCATTTACATGTGTTTGTTGGCCATTTGTATGCCCTCTTTGGAGAACTATCTTCTACCCAGATTATTTGCTAATTTTTTAATTGGGTTATTTATTTTTTTATTATCGAATTTCAAGAGTTCTTTACATATTCAGTAAACACATCCTTTTTATCAGACATGATTTGCAAATATTTTCTCCCATTTTGTCGGTTGCCTTTTTATTTTTTTATGACATTGTAGCACAAAAGTTTTAAAATTTGATGTAGTATAATTTAGCTATTTTTCTTTTGTCACTTGTACTTTTGGTGAAGTTCTTTACATTTTTAAAAATAGATTTCATTTATTAGAGCAGTTCTACATTCATAGCAAAATTGAGTGGAAAATACAAAGAGTTCTCATATATCCCATTTCCCCATGCATGTACAAACCTCACCCATTATTGACATGCCCCATAGAGTAGTTATTTGTTACAGTTGATGAATCTACATTGACACATTATTACCCAAAATCCATAGTTTACATTAGGATTCACTCATAGTGTTATATGTTTGGGTTTGAATAAATGTATAATGACATTCATCCACCATTATAGTATCATGCAGAATTATTTCACTGCCCTAAAAATTCTGTGTGCTCTGCTCATTCATTTTTTTCCTTCCTCCTAACCCCTGGCAATTGCCCCCCCCTTTTTTTTGCTATGTCTACAGTTTTGCCTTTTACAGAATGTCATGTAGTTGGAATCATATAATATGTAACCTTTTCAGGTTGGCTTCTTTCACTTAGTAATACGCATTTAAGGTTCTGGAGCCCCTTACATTTTTAACATGTATGTTTAGTTATACAGTTTCTAAAAAAAAGTTTAAGGTTATTCAGTAGCTCTTTTTCCAGAGCAATATAAGGATTTTAGTGCCCTTTAATTAACCCCTGAACATCTCTTAATTTTTTTTTTTTTTGTAGAAACTTTAGTTCTACACTTCAAAAAAGAAGTTTATATGATACTTGAGGCAGGGTGTCTAGGTTTTATGGGTTAGTAAGCAAGCTGGATGACACCGAGCAAGTTGCTTATCCTCCCATTTTCTGTTTCTTTATCTTTAAAATGGGCAAATAGTAGTACCCATTTCAAAGGGCTGTAGCAAGGATTAAAATGTAAATATATTGTCATGGGAATTACTCTGATGCAATAGTAGTCTCCAAATAAGCTCCTAGATAGGCTATCATAGATTTCATGGAACAGAAAGGTGCCAAATAAAATGTTCAGATCACAGTTTATTCGATCAATTGCAAATATGATGCAAAATATATGGGAAGAGAGGTGGGCTAGGAAAACACACTTAAGGTGTGTGTATCAGCCTTCCCTGCTGATGATGTGGTTACAAGGACCAGAGTGGAAATTTGAACAAGGGAGCCCAACGTACTAAAGGTGTCTGAGGAAACAACACATACTTGCTCCATAAGAGAGCTTGTTGGCGAGTACACTTGGCCAATAGCTACGCTCCGTGTTTAGCCTGATGGGCAACTATGCATTTTATTTGGCTGAAAATCTAAAATCAGAGTCAGCAATAGGTGGCCAATTAAAGATCTCACAATTATTGTGTGTCTCAGGTGCTTCATTTATACCCGTGTGTCATATGTATCTGTTGTTCATTTGTTATTTAGCAAATCATGACTATTAAATGCTTGTTTTTGCTCCTCTCCCCCTTTCTATCTGTGTTCATAGATTTATGTTCTCTACTTTGTGTCTGATACTCCTCAGCTTACTAACTTACTTATTTATGGTTAATGCAGCTAATGAATTTCACCCATCCCGTTTGTTTTCTTGTCTTCTAGAGCAGAATTGACTATGCCAAGACACTACAACAATTGCACATTGTATGTGAAAATAACTCTATAAATCTTAGCTACTATTATTATTATTACATTAGATGGCTTTTGTATTTTAATATTATCATCTATCTAAGAGTGAAGATTAGCAATCTAGTTAAACTTCATCGGATTAAACAACTAACTGAAAATCCCGATATTAAAGTTATTTGGCTTGATTTTGATCTGAAATAGATAACAAGGTGTACTTTATTAGATCTGTTTGCTATGAATTTAATTTATCCTCCCATCCTTCCAGTTGTACAGATTATTGGCTGTTACTTACAAGGCTAGTATACTTCTAATTTTGTTCCTTTCCTACAGGCTTATCCACAGTTTGTTCTGACCTACCTAGAGGAGCTCACCGCACAAGTGGGTATGACCCAGACAGAATATCACATTCACCGTGGTGCCCGGACTACAGCTCATCAGGAACATGGTAGCAGCTTAGCAGGAGAGGTCAGTGTAGTGAGCCAGAGGCAAGACAGAGATAGATCTCTAAAATGTATTTTGAAAAGAGAAAATGTTCAAGTTGTTTTCAGGAGACAAGCACAAATTCACATCTTAACGATACTGTTTAAAATCATACAAATAATATAAATATCTGTATGCACATTTATATTTATGTAAACACCTCTATGTACTCATATAAACATTATTTTATTAAATAGTGGATGACCTTGTAGCTTTTGTTAGGACTGATGCCTTTTCTTCTGGTCACATACAAATGATTTCTGTGCCAAAGGAGGAAGACTGGAGGAAGCCTGAAAAGTGTAATGTTAAATTTGGGGCATATGTAGCTTAGATATATCCACTCAATGAAATTAGGTACATTATTGTTATATTTCATTTCTTAGGTTCTACAAGAATGTGCTAGCATCCCTGGTCTGAAGCAACTGCCAGAGCCTTCAGACACCCATTTAATGCCAGAAGGTCCTCTTGGGGAGACAAGGCAGCTGACAGTGGCACTGATGAGGAAACTGGAAGAGAAACATCCTAAGGCTTCTGCTCAGAGGTAGGGCACTGACAGAATGGAGCTTTATTGCTCAATGACATTCGATGTTTTCCTTCAGTTTTATGTAAGATTGATTTCTTGAAGATTATTGAAATATCTCAAAAGCCCTTTGGCTTGCAAGCACTGTCGTTTTCGGGTCACATTTGATGAAGAGAGGTGACATTTATGTGTATTTCATTAAAGTTTGATGTATGATATTGTTTTAAGTATACTTAGGAAGGGCTGTTCTCCTGGGTTCTCACTAAAATGCTCTGAAATAACATAAGTAAAGTGATATTGAGCATGTATCCAATTGTGAAAATACCAAGAGATCTTTAAGAACACCAGACTCAGACAATCCTTTTTGTGTTTTGTGGCAAGATTATTATATTTAGGCCTGAGGATAAATGCACATTGGATGGTCTTTAGCAGTGATAATTTAAAAAATTGATGTAATTTCTATGGAATAAAACTAACTAGTGGTTTTGCTAACCAAATGAAAATCACCCTTGGCTGGAAAATAGAAACTATTTCTCTGATCCTCCTTATCTAATTGGAAAATTAAAGGTTATGTTTATTATTAGTAGTAGTGTTATTTTGTTTGGTTTGATGTTATAAATCACAAAATGACATTACAAATTGTAATTTTAATATCGTAATTTTTGGCAGTTAACTATTGACTGAAGTACTCTTAAAGGAGTAATATGATTCATACTGTACTTTCTAATGCTCAAGAGAATTCCTAACTTTAAATATTCTAACTATAGATAGCAATGTCAGTTGCATGGAAAAAGAAAAAAAAATGACAACTTTTAATTTCTTTTTTAAGAACCTTGCCAGGTTTATATAGAGTTGACATATAAAAATTGTGTAAGTTTAAGGTATACAACATAACAGCTTTCATTTTAATTAAAAGCTCTTAAATTCTTAAATTATATATTCCTGCCTGAGATTTTTAACAGGAGGGGAACTTTTTTTTCCTCTTAACAAAAGTGACTTTTCAATTTATTGTCTCTTTGTTATCTAAACCTCACTTTGGTTTCATTATTTTGAGTAAGATAAGGCACAGATGAATAAAAGAACAAATTTAGTACCTTGCTGTATCATAGTCTGAGTACTGTACAAAAACCTAAGTTCTAGTTTCCTTTCCTGCTACTTACTTTTTAATGATATATAAGATTCTCAACTCTCTGACACCCCACAACAGGGCCACAAAGCCACAGCAGTCCAGCTAGTCCTTTCTGTTCAGGTAACTAGAATGGAAGGCCCTTGGGAGCAGTCTTTGAAGTTTTCACATAAAACAGGAACTCAGGGAAAACTGGACCACTGGGAAACTTAAATATGGTTTTATGAGACTGTTGTTGGCCTTCCTAGACTCACTAGGCAGACATTTCTACTCTACGCTTTTTGAGAGCATGAGGGGGCTTGTCATTATCCTGGGTAATACTCAAGGAGGCACAGGTTCCTGCTGCTTCCCGATTTCTGAAACCTGTATGGGATTTCCATTTTTGTCTCCTGCTGGCCCTGGTCCCAGGAGGCGCAGGCCGGGGGTGGAGGGGTGGGTGGGGGGGTAGTCAGTGTACAGGGAATCCAGTGATAACTCACCTAATTCTCTATGACTCCCTCCTTCCCCAGCCTGGAAGTATTTTCTCTGAGCATCAAGGGCATTGGGAGGTTGAGGGATTGTCTTCTGTATTTTGTGATTGTATCTGCCCTGAAGCAGTACAGTCTGATGATGGAATATTGGGAGAAAGGCATATTGTATTAGGCAAGCCAAAAAAGTCCCCAGAATACAAACAGAAAAACAAGCAACAAAGCAGTTAACATCATACTTGCTTGAGTTGTTAGAATTGCAGGTCTTTAAATTTCCAGGAATGTGGTAAGCACTCAATGAGTAGTCTGTGAAAATGTGCTAAAAGCAAGTAGAGTCGAAAACAGTTTTTAATAGTGGTTGCAGTTAGATTTGTGATTTTTAATCGATAGGGGTTGACTAAATATGTTTGGGATTTTATTTCATAAGAAAATTCCCAGGGCCCTTATCTTAGTGAGCATCCCTCAGGATTTGTGTCTCAGGCTACAGCAACTCTTCTAGTCCTCTTTTTTTCTTAAACCCACAGGGATTTATCCTCATTCTCCTCTCCACCTCCACAATTTGCCATAATAGAGGTAATTTCAGTTTCTCTCCTTCTTTCTGTTCCTTAACAAAGTTATTTTGAGTAGAGAGTAAGTACTTAGAGCAATTACTTTCCTCCCATTTTGGAAGGAATTGTTGGGCAAAATTAGAACATGGTACTGAATTTGGCATATTGATTACTTTGAACCTTAGGCTGTCTTGTTAGGTTTACAGATAGTCCAAATATAAGAGAATCGGCGCATTATATTATCACAGCTTTAAGAGAGGACTTTACATTTTCTTGCCTTTATCAATGCCAATTTTAAAAAATATAAAATAAATCATTATAAAAATAAAAGAATACTGTAAAATGATCTGAGTTGTAGAAATTGGAGAAAGAAATAGAATTTTAGAATAAAAGCCATTAATGAGCAAATAATCTGGAGAAAGAACATATAGTTGAAAAGAATAAACGATACAGAGATATAAATGTTTGTATTTCCTTAGCAGTAGCCAATGAAGGAGAGAACCACAAGTAGCCAAATTTGGGGAAAGACAGAAAGATTGGTAGTTAGTGGTGTAGAAATATGTGAAAATGAAAGACAACATTCATTTTTAATAACACATATTAACTTTGCTTAAGTGCTTTATGTGCATTATTGCCCAGTAGCCTATGCAGTATGTAAAACAGAGGTATTCATCTCTTTTTTACTGATAAGGAAATTGAAGCACAGAGAGAGTAAGTTACTTCACTAAAGGCCTTCCAGGTAGTAATTTAAGGCAGGCCTATCTGAGCCCAAAGTCTTTTTCTTAGCCTCTACATTATTCTGCCTAACCATTCATGTTCTTGTCTTAGCGATTATTCCAAATCTTTAGCCTTTCAAATGGGACCTATTATTTTGACTGGATATCTTGGAGAGGGACCTTTAAATAAAGTGGAACAGTTTAGAAAGGGAATAATAATAGATATGTCAATATATGCAGCTTGCAGTGATGACTACATAAGAAGTTGAAAATACAAAAGGAGACTGTGAACCCATTTCTTGTTGAATCCAACAGCCTAGATTTACTTATTTACAAAGCTTGCACTTGAATGGATTAGAGATTTTTAAAAATCTTTTTCTAATAAGGTGACTATAACCTGTCATGATTAGCCAAGGTATTTCCCACCTTGAATGGTGGTTCAGTTCGGCTTTGTATCTACTAAATATGGTGATAGGTAACTAACAGCTGTCATTTGTTGAATACTTACCATGTGTCAACTGCTAGTGAAAGTACTTATTCTTATAACAATGTGGTAAATTTAATTATTATCACAATAATCTGAAGGTGGAGGGACTCTTAAAATTCATAAAGATACAGCAACTGAGGCTCAGAGTGATTTTGTAATGTGCCCAGTTATACAGCTGGAGATGGGATTCAAACCCACAACCATTTGGATCTATAGACCATGCTCTTAACCACTGTTTTATTCTTCATTCCTAATAATAGTAATTCCAGTGATTTTATAACAGAATGTTGTCAAATTGAATAGTCACTTTATCACTAAAATTTTTTGTGTATTACATCATAAACATTTGATTGGACTATTGCCATTTTGATGGGTACATTATTTTGAATTATATTCTTAAAAAAAAACCTATGACAATCACCACAAATCTGCAGGCCAGGCTTTCCCATCTACGGAATCATTTAATTTAATATATACACTTCAAGCATTTGTGGAAAGCAGTCTGATTATTGATCTTCATTTTTTATTATTTTTGTAATGTGGAAAAAATTATTTTTCCTGTTGAAGAAAAAGGAAAATCTCTTACTGTGTGAGGTCTTTAAAGTTCTTAGTTCACGATAGATTATATTTTCTTGCTTATTTATCAACACTTAAAATGTTTTTTCTGCCTTTATCAGTGAGATATAGAAATGTGGTTATCTTCTTGTTTGGATAAACAGTTGTGTGTACCTTTAATTCTAAGTTTGGTCCAAAAATAAGATAAATGCCATATTCTGGCATCTTTAAGTGTCTGGAATGTGTTTGTTTACATTAGTTTATCTGATGGAGCCCTTTACCTTATTCAAATTGAATAGGGGGTGGGGAAGGACTGGGACAGCCGACAAAGCACACTGACCCAGCTTGTCACCCAGTGACCTGTGAGAAGGAAATAATGAACTGTGAGTAGCTGTCATCTTAACTGTTTCTGACAGTTTGCCTTTGGGCACATCTGTGTTAGTTGCATTGGAAAGGCCTTTGTTCTTTTCCCACTAGTGACTTTGTGGAGTGCTGAGGGGTTTGCTAGCTACTGGACTCTTAAGCGGGTCCTTCGTTCCCAGGGAAGCAAGCAGCTGCCGTGGATCACACTGACATTTCTCTTCATGACTCAACTTGGCATGTACTTCACTCTTTCAAAAAAGAACATAAATTTAGAAGTCCTTTGATTTTTCTCATTTAAAATGTACTTGAATGTCTCCTGAGTTTTGTTACTAACAACACAGCAAGTTCTAAAATATGTTTAGTATTATCCTGATTTTATGTGGATAAAGGTAAAGATAAATTGATAGCTAACCAGATAGGCAGGTGACTTGAAGAAATATGTATCCAAATATTGACAGCTGTTATGAGTTTTAAATTGTTCTTTATTATTTTCCACATTTCAATAATTGATTATTGTATTTGCAATATAATAGGATAAAATCAACATATGTTATGAAAAATATTTTTAATGTAGATACTTTTGACACATGCTTTATTAGTAGGAATATTTGGACTAAAATAGGTAAGAATATGCTCTCTTTTGTTTCACATTTTTCACTGCTACTTTTTAAATAGATTTCCATCTAATAATTTAAACTTTTAAATATTGTAGTATTTATGTTTTAAAATTAATCTAGTGCATAAAATTGTTATAATCAT